GAATTTGTGAGTGGATTTTTTGCCAAAAAATAAATTCTGAAAAATGGACCGCTCGAAATTTCCCATATTTGTTTCCTAATGCGAACCCCTCAACCGCCTTAAAGTTTAAACAACTATAAATAATCTGAACTCCCTCTCTCTGTCGCACACGCTCCTTCTCTTTCTCGCTGTGTCATAGCTTTCAGACGCTCCCTCTCAGACCCTCCTTCACCCTTCTCTGATTCTCCCTCTCCTTCATCCCTCTCTGAGTCTCTCTCTCCTTCATCCCTCTCTGATTCTCTCTCTATTGTTCTTCTTTATTTTTTTGAACTATATTAAGTTTAAAGAGATCTTTCTATCTTTTAGTCTTTACCATTTTTGTCACGTTTTACTCAAATCGTCGATGAGAAAAAAAGATTTAACACCGCAACTTGTTCAGATTATCTTTTAGTTTGAGTTTCTTGTTTGATTTTGATTGTCTTGTTTGATTTCTATAACTCTTGGTCAGCTTCTGTAGATACTTCAAGATGTAGTGTATCAAAGCCTAGAGATGTTAATAACCACCACAGATAGAATTTTTGAGATAGCAGGAGAGAACAAAATACAAGAAATCAGGACTCTCTTAGTTAGTAGGCTTCTCATAATTTTCACGGTTAGTTAGTAGCCTTCTCTTCCATGAATTTCTTTGGGCTTTCAATTCTGTAAGTTCTCTCTCTCTCTCTCTCTCTCATAATTTTGTAAGTTCCTTTTCAATGTCGCTCTCATATTTTTCTGTTTATCTACTTTGTGTTTTACTTGTTCTTATTTTGTTATATGACATCTTTGTTCAATGCTCAATCACCTTTGTTTAGTCAGATTGTTCATCGTAGTTGTGTGTACTTGAGTCAACTTGATTACCTCTTTTGTTCTTGATAAATCGTCAGCAATATTGAACTCAACCGATCTTTATTTTAAGTCATTCAATTATCACATCCATTCAACTATTTTTTTGTGTCTCGTTGTTCTTTCCTTTCTTGAAGTTATAGTTGTTTGAAGACTAATGATGTTGTGTAAAATCTGAATGCTGTTCAATAGGAGAGTATTTTGCTCGCTCAAACTTGTACATGGAATTAAAGTTAAAAGTTCTAATTGTATGGCATGCATGAATTAGTTTTTTTTTTACATAAGATGATGCATGAATTAGTTCAATTGCATTCTTTCTCTACTCTTGGATATTGGGATTTAACATGATGCCGAATCAATTTTTTGCTAGCTTAGCAGCCCCTTCCCTCTCTTTCTTGCGTCGCTGTCTTCTGTCTATGCAGACATAATTCGCAACTCAGATGCTAATAAATCCCTCTGGCTTTAACATTTTGATCCTGATTTTTAGGGAGCAGTAACTTTCTCTGCTTGGCGGCGTTAATTTTTTTACGTGCCCAATTGGTATGTTTGTTTTCTTCTTCAGTTTTATAAGGTCCATGAGACCAACAAATGACACAATATCTGTATGTGTGTTTTCTTAAATGTTCTAATATTCTATGCTTATTACTTAGCTTCAGCTATATATGTTGTCTTTACATGCTAACTGCTTTTTATTCTGGCACAGGATGCTGAGGCTGTATCCTATATCAAAAAGTGTACAATACATGATCAATATTGAACAACCTAATTGGGCAGTTGCTGTGAGTTAATAACCCTTTTCTGTTTGGATGTGAAGGCCCAGCTTATGTACATCTTGTTTTGACGTTGGTCTATAAGCAGTTCTAGTCTGGTACATACATGTTCACTTTAGTCCGTGGTTATGCACTCAATTGTCAATCATCATGGGTATACTTGACATACGCTATTGGGTGGACAATTTATTTTAATATTCCATTTTCGTGGATGTTTCATACTGCTTTGTCCATGCCTTCCCTGTTTCTATTGAAGTTTCTTCTATGTTTTCTTATGTCTTTTCTTCTTGTAACAGACTTTTCTTTATGTGTTTTACCTATTAGAGAATCCTGAATATAAAGCCCATTAGTAATCTGCAACATGTTGTTGAGGTAATCTTAGATCAGAAAGGACCGATAATTTTTCCATTGATATAAAGGTGGATAATTTTGGCATTGGACAGATGGATATGACCTCAATACAGGTGCTTTATTTATCACCCCGTAGAGATGAATACTATATGGTAGCGGTAGGAAATTTTTTGGCCTTGAATCACAGTATTCCGGAAGAACAGGTTGTTCCAACTCAATATCATCAAGAATTATTGACTATTGCATAGAAAGAGGTTTATCTTCGAAATATTTTTTCCTTCCGGTATTTTTATTTATGTTTCTTTTCAAATTCACGTATCTTTTGATGGTGAAAACTTCGGAGCTAATTGAGAGAATGAGAGACACTTGTCGAGTAAGTTACTCATTAATATTTTCCTTTTGAAATCATGTTAGCGTGAAGTGCATCTATCTTCTTATAAGTTGCATGCCTAGTTTTCATAATTGTCTAATCTAGGATCTCTTGGATATGCACTAAAACAAAAGTAGAGATGAGACTTCCTCTTCAACAAAGACACTAATAATGAAGACTTGGAGAAAACTAGGATTGATCACACTTATTGCCGAATTGAACTTGATGGCTGTGTGAAAAACCTAACTACCTAAGGTCTTGGATGACCCATGTCAACCTCGCCAGCATTAGCATATTTTTGTAGTTGAGAATATGTATCTCAAACCTGTTGGAAAGAACATCCTTCAATTTTAGGGTTCTCTGTGGTAATCTGGAATCCTGGTTATTGGTTGTTTCTCTTATTCTTTATTCCAAATGAGTAGATGACAGGTTTTTAACCCTTCTTTCTTTCCTTGTCTTGTGTAGATAAGTGAAGTCTTATCATGGTCATGGTATTGGAGAGCTCTTCCATTGCGCACCAAACATTCTTCATTATGCAAGTATCCTTAAAGAAGTAACTTTTCCATTTGAATGTTCATTTGCATTAAAAATCTGCCTATGAACAAAATGAGGAACGGAAAGTATAGGGTGAACTGACTCATATTTCTATGATATTACAATTTCAATATCGTCTTATCCACTCTGTATTTTTCCTTCGTCCTCTTTGTACCTTAACCTTAGAAGTAAATAAAGCTGTTGGTGTTAAACTAGGATTGATCACACTTATCGCCGAATTGAACTTGATGGCTGTGTGAAAAACCTAACTACCTAAGGTCTTGGATGACCCATGTCAACCTCGCCAGCATTAGCATATTTTTGTAGTTGAGAATATGTATCTCAAACCTGTTGGAAAGAACATCCTTCAATTTTAGGGTTCTCTGTGGTAATCAGGAATCCTGGGTATTGGTTGTTTCTCTTATTCTTTATTCCAAATGAGTAGATAGCAGGTTTTTAACCTTTCTTTCTTTCCTTGTCCTGTGTAGATAAGTGAAGTCTTACCATGGTCATGGTATTGGAGAGCTCTTCCATTGCACACCAAACATTCTTCATTATGCAAGTATCCTTAAAGAAGCAACTTTTCCATTTGAATGTTCGTTTGCATTAAAAATCTGCCTATGAACAAAATGAGGAACGGAAAGTATAGGGTCAACTGACTCATATTTCTGTGATATTACAATTTCAATATCGTCTTATCCACTCGGTATTTTTCCTTCGTCCTCTTTGTATGACCTTAACCTTAGCAGGAAATAAAGCTTTTGGTGTTAAACTAGGATTGATCACACTTATCGCCGAATTGAACTTGATGGCTGTGTGAAAAACCTAACTACCTAAGGTCTTGGATGACCCATGTCAACCTCGCCAGCATTAGCATATTTTTGTAGTTGAGAATATGTATCTCAAACCTGTTGGAAAGAACATCCTTCAATTTTAGGGTTCTCTGTGGTAATCAGGAATCCTGGGTATTGGTTGTTTCTCTTATTCTTTATTCCAAATGAGTAGATAGCAGGTTTTTAACCCTTCTTTCTTTCCTTGTCCTGTGGAGATAAGTGAAGTCTTATCATGGTCATGGTATTGGAGAGCTCTTCCATTGCGCACCAAACGTTCTTCATTATGCAAGTATCCTTAAAGAAGCAACTTTTCCATTTGAATGTTCGTTTGCATTAAAAATTTGCCTATGAACCAAATGAGGAACGGAAAGTATAGGGTGAACTGACTCATATTTCTGTGATATTACAATTTCAATATCGTCTTATCCACTCTGTATTTTTCCTTCGTCCTCTTTGTATGACCTTAACCTTAGCAGGAAATAAAGCTGTTGGTGTTATGAAGGCTGGGCAAATCTTTACCATTGAACCTATGATAAATGCAGGTAATTTTACAATGCTTATAAATTGTAATCAAAAGTTCTGCCTCGACGTTTTTGTTGTACTTGTTTTATTTTTTGCAAATTTGATTTTTAATGGAGTTAGAATGCTATGATTGCTTTGCCTTGCTACATGCATAAAAATAACTTCTTTCTTGTAAGATGGATGACACCTTTAACCTTTTTATGTTGAGTTTATATTCATGTTGTGCAAGTCTTTTATACAGGGTGATTAACATTTGTTCTTGGTAATATGCTGGCAATACCAATGGCTGAGGCTAAAAGTCATTTCCTTATTTGGCGTCTATTGAAACAAACGAAGCCTTTTTGTTTAATTGTTGATTGAATGAAGTCAAAATTTAACAAGGAAAAAAGTCAAATTTATGGTTGACAGTTATAAGGTTGAAAAGTAGTAGATGTATACATAGGTTTTCATGCCTTAGCTGAAAAACCACTATAACTTTGTCTTTTTAGATGTTATGTTTTTCTTGTTATGATGGTTGAATGAATATTTTTGTTAAGGATGTTGATTCTGGAGCTGTAATATCACAATTTAGAGCTGTAATACCAGTCAAATATCAGCATTATGTTTCGATCAAAGTGGCACCCTTCTGTGCCTGCTTCAGTGCATGGAAATAGCATAAATATTTTCTGGATCATACCCATCTTGGATACATAATAGTGCAGGCACTCAAACCTATGGCTGGGCTCTACTCATGTGCATCTGTATAATTTCTATCATGGAATGACAACTGCTGTTAGTAGACATCCATTTCTCAGTATTCATTATTTTCTTCTCTTCCTTTCCAAATGGTCTAAGTTTGTGGAATATTGTTGGGATTACCGAGTTTTATTTGGCAGATCATCCAAGACATGTGCTTCTGTCATTACTATCAGTGGATTGCTATTATACCATCCAAAGGGAGTTGCCACTTTTTTGCTCTATGCCCCTTTGGTGGCAATGCCAGCTTTCAAACTCTTGTTTCTCCATGGCAAATGTCCATCCCCGTATTCCATTGTATCTCTACCACGGCGGTCTACTTCATCTTTCATCCTAAACCAGCAATCTTCTTCACCTCGTCACCCTGTTACCTTTTATGTGGTAAGCCGGATCAAGAATAATGCCTCGGGACTGCTTATTCAGTTATCAATACTGCTACTTCCGCAGAAGGAAAGGTTAACCTGCCATCTTGTGCTGGTCCAACTGATTTTTCACATTTCCGTATCTTCTTGTTTTGCAGGATGTTCACTCTGGGGTTAATTCCTTGGAGCATCTGTTAGTTTATACTCCATCAGGCTATGTGATTAAACTTGAGCTTCTGCCATCAATTGAGGCAGAGCTAAATGAGAGTGATCTAGCAACTCGGTCTGGCTCATATGTACATTCGCAAGATGAGGAGTAAGTGTGAAAGTTGAACCTGTTCAATTGTGGGATGTGTGTAGAAGATCAGATTGTCTAGAGAGAGAGGAAGGAATGTTTTTCAGAGACTACTTTTGATGCTCAATTGGCTGGAGAGAAGAAAGTTTCTGGAGATAAATCTGATTCAGTAAAGCTCCCTGAGAGATCCCACCTGTATCTGTCAAATGCTAAGGTGCAAATAATGCAAATAAATTCTGGATGGTTACCAATATGGCCAAAATCCAAGGTAAAATCTGTTAGATTCATGATTCCCTTGATTCTGGTATTCTAATGTGGTTGTGATTAATCTTCATCATTGCTCTAGATTCATTTTGGTAGAATTATCCCTCCAAGAGTGGATAGATACAATGGTGGAGAATTTGAAATCTACAAGGTCCCATCTTATATAGTGGAACTAAGACAGAAGGATTTATTGTCAGTGTATGATCATTTCCACAACATCAAATCTAGTTGCATTGACAAGTGTTGATCACATTCACCTCTTTTCAGGTTCTGGTAACTCTCCATCTGTAATCAATTATGTTGATTCTTGTGTTGGATGTTTATGTCCATATATTGCTGAAAATTTCTAATAGGTTTAATTTTCTGTTTTGAAATGTTGGTTTTCATATGGTGATAGACTTCTTAGAGGAGTAAACTAACTTGAGTAGTAGTAGCAACATGAAAAAGGTTATAGCCAAATCTACTTTCTGTTATGCCATCAGCCAGATGATTTATGCAGGTAGTTACATAAATTGTGCTGACTTACCATATACTTCTGCGTCTAGCATGATGAATTCAGGATGGATTTATGTGTGTTAGTTGGACTAGGGGCCATAAATCTTCACTTCTTCTAGCAAAGGAGTTTCTGATTTCCCCTCTCGTTATTGCAACAGAATTGGAATGTCATTTGTAATCATCAGACCTTCATTGCATTATCTTTTTTCGCTTTCCATTTGGTAGATGTCTTATTCAGTGTTCTCCATTTTGTACTTTTTTCTTTCTCATGAATTTAGAATCTTGTTTCTCATAACAAAAAAATACAACCCTTAATTAGAACTTACTCTCCTTCCCATTATAAAAATTGCAGTTAATTGATAAGAGGGAATGCCGTACAAGTTGGGTGGTGGTATGTCACTGTAATAATACTTGTGAACTTGAAAAAAAAGAGAAAAACCATTTACACTTGTTATAACAATACTTTTAATTTTAGCCCTTTTGTGAGTACCATAATCATCTCCATCCACTATCGGTTCTTGCTGCGATATTTGCAGGTATTCTACATGCAAATAAACTAATTGAATTGTGTGTGCCCTTTGTAAATTCTGATAAACTATTGCTTCCTAAGAGATTTTTGTCTAATGTCTTGGAATGTGTTGTGGGGGGTTGTGCACTTGCACACATGCCTACAAGTGCATGTGTCTTGGGGTGCTTAGTCCCAACTTGAATTTTATTGTAAGCTTGGTTGTTTTGAATTTACTTGCCTTGCCTTGCCTCTTCTTTATTTCTTTATATAGAAAAGATATTTCTTGACTTGCTAACGTCTTTATTAAATAGTTTGGATGATTCAAGATTTAATTTTTCCCCTTCTTGTCGAGATGAATTTTCCCTGGGTTGATGTTGGAACATCTAACTAATTTTTTAACTACTTTTTTCCATTAATGCACCAGATAGCAAGCAAGACGGGCGACACATGCCTTTGGTGCAGAAAGAAAGAAAGAGGTATACCATATGCACTAGTGTTTGTTGAGCAAATAGAATTGTCTAAGAAGTGTCTGATGAGACAGAGGTAATTAGAGGGTTTGCTTTTGTCTTATCATATCTCAAACAGGTTAAGGAGTCGATGAAATCTCTTGATTCTTATTGGATCATGATATAGATTTTTGGTTTACTTAGCTCATTCTCTTAAATATATAATTAAAGAGGGTAATCTTTTGGATGCAGTTTATTCATAAGATGCTTTACATTCATGCATGATAAAGGACTATCGTTGATTTGATGTTGCAGTGCATTCATCAATTTTCCACAGCCTGTTGCTGTGACCTTGCCTTGGTAAACTCTATCTCAATGCTTAGTTTCGTTAGAGGGTTTTTTTTTTCTATAGAACCAGCAGTGTTTGAATCTGATTCTTTTGTTTATACAATTTTCCCAGTTGACTGTATTGGACTTCATTTACCTGGACACAGTTTAAAAGTTTTATTGGTAAAGCAGGTAACTTAACCTGGCTTGGGCTACTTAAAGCTGGATCGAACTGTTACGTGCAGGTTCTCAGGTTCCAGTGGGCTGTGTTAATGGCGAGATGTCATTGGATAGTAACTCTGGGTCTTGAAACGCAAGTAAGCTCTAACTTATTTATTTTGTTGACAAGGTTGAAATAAACAAACATCTGTGAGATACTTCATATTGTGAGTGTGAATTATTTGTTGAGTACCATACTGCATTTATAACTGTTCTTTATAGATGCTGTCGATTCCTGCAAAGTGTCAGGGTAATGAAGGATTAAGAAGGTCACATCCTGTACTGTTGGTTGTTGTGGGTGATGAGACCAACAAGTTAAGCCTTGATCAAAAGCGTTGTCATTTGGGTGGGTGTGGCAGAGACGGTTCTATGGAGTTTCAATAGGGGTATGCCATCAACTCTCCTACAGCTAGTCGATTTTACTCTCTAAGTTCTAAGTTTTATGTGCAGGCCCTCAGGTTCCAGTCGGCAGTGTTAATGGTCAGATGTAGTCATCGGATTGTAGCTCTGGGTCTTGAAATGCAAGTAAGCTCCAACTTATTTTATATGTCCACCCGATTATAATAAACTATCAGCTGTCAGATTCATTATATTTTGGACCAATGGGCCTTTGGTCCAATGGTACTCCTTATCATGTGAGAAGACTTTGCCTTCTTGAGATTAAGGGTTCAACTCCTTCTCCCCTTCTACTCCCCCAAAAAAATAAAACATAAAAAAAAGAAAAAAAAATTATATTTTGGGTAAGAATTATATCTTGAACACCATATTGCATTAACAAATGTTGTAACTAATATCATAGATCTAGGACAGGGATTGGTAATGAAATTCTGCTACTCTTCCTTGGAATGTAGAAAGGATGTATATGTATTTGAGTTCTGTACATATGAAGCAATAAGCATTAATGATTTATAGTGTATTGGAAGCAGTGTTTAGAGTACTAAGTTCTGTACTTTATTTGGTTAAGGTTTCTGCTGCGGCAAGAAATTTGATGGCTTACTATTACCCTCCCTTGTGGCAGATACACTGCATTGATATACACTTACTGTTGAGGACAAACTCAGTGTTCTCACCTATCCCTTTCCTCAGTTTGGAGGACAAGGGTCAATATTGGGAATGGTCCAAAAGTTGTAGGTCCAAGGTCGTTAGCTTGTAATCATTGTTAATTCAGAAAATTCTATTATTATTTTTTACCAGGTTAGGCATCTGGGCAAAGTAATCAAAAGTTCTGCCTAGACGTTTTTATTGTACTTGTTTTATTTTTGAAAAATTTGATTCTTAATGGAGTAAGAATGCCATGATTGCTTTGCCTTGCTACATTAAAATGTATAGGTGCTTAGTCAATTACATTTTTGAATTTCACATTAATGTATAAAAATAACTTCCTTCTTGTAAGAAGGATGATAGTGCAAGTCTTTTATACAGGGTGATTAACATTTATTCATGGTAATATGCTGGCAATACCAATGGCTGAGGCTAAAAGTCATTTCCTTATTTGGTGTCTATGGAAACAAACGAAGGCTTTATGTTTAATTGATTGAATGAAGTCAAAATTTAACAAGGAAAAAGAAGTGAAATTTATGGTTGACTGTTATAAGGTTGAAAAGTAGATGTATACATGGATTTTCATGCCTTAGCTGAAAAACCACTATCTTTGTCTTTTTAGATGTTATGTTTTTCTCGTTATTATGGTTGAATGCAGGTTTTTGTTAAGGAAATTGATTCTTGGATACATAATAGTGCAGCCACTCAAACCTATGACTGGGCTCTTCTCATGTGCAGCTTTACAAGATCTATCGTGGAATGATAACAGCTGCTAGCATACATCCGTGTCTCAGCATTCATTATTTTCTTCTCTCCCCTTCCAAATGATCTAAGTTTGTGCAATCTTGTTCGGATTACTGTGTTTTATTTGGCAGATCATCCAAGACATGTGCTTCAGTCATTACTATCAGTGGATTGCTAATATCCATCCAAAGGGACTTGCCACTTTTTATCCCCCTTTGGTGGCAATGCCAGCTTTCAAATTCTTGTTTCTCAGGGCAAAGGTCTATGCCCGTATCCCATTGTATCTTTACCACGGCGGTCTACTTCATCTTTCATCCTAAACCAGCAATCTTCTTCACCTTGGCACCCTTTTACCCTTTATGTGGTAAGGAGGATAAAGAATAATGCCTCGGGATTGCTTATTCAGTTAGCAATATTGCTACTTCCGCAAAAGGAAAGGTTAATCTGCCATCTTGTGCTGGTGCAGCTGATTTTTCACAGTTCTGTATCTCGTGGTTTGCAGGATGTTCACTTTGGGGTTAATTCCTTGGAGCATCTGTTAGTTTATACTCCATCAGGCTATGTGATTAAACTAGAGCTTCTGCCATCAATTGAGGCGGAGCCAAATGAGAGTGATCCAGCAACTTGGTCTGGCTCATATGTACATTCGTAAGATGGGGAGTAAGGGTGAAAGTTGAACGTGTTCAATGGTGGGATGTGTGTAGAAGATCGGATTGTCCTGAGAGAGAAAAAGTAATGTTTTTCAGAGACTGCTTTTGATGCTCAAGAAGCTGGAGAGAAAAAAGTTTTTGGAGATAAATCTAACAGTAGAGATCCCACTTATATCTATCAAATGCTGAGGTGCAAATAAGTTCTGGAAGGTTACCAATTATGGCAAACATCCAAGGTAAAATCTGTTAGATTAATGATTCCCTTGATTCTACTATTTTCTTTTGGTTGTGATTAATCTTCATCATTGCTCTAGATTCATTTCGATATATCCCTCCAAGAGTGGATAGGTACAATGGTGGAGAATTTCAAATCTACAACGTCCCATCTTATATAGTGGAAATAAAAAGGAAGGATTTATTGTCAGTGTATGATCATTTCCACAACATCAAATTTGGGCTGCATTCACAAGGGTTGATCACATTCACCTCTTTTCAGGTTCTGGTAACTCCCCATCTGTAATCAGTTCTGTTGATTCTTGTGTTGGATGTTTATGTCCATATCTTCCTGAAAACTTCTAATAAGTTTAATTTTCTGTTTTTGAAGTGTTTGTTTTCATATGGTGATAGACTTCTTAGAGGAGTACACTGACTTGAGCTTGAGCAGTAGTAGCAACGGTGAAAAAGGTTATAGACAAATCTACTTTCTGTTGTGCTATCAACCAGATGATTCATGCAGGTAGTTACATAAATAGTGTTGACTTACCATATAGTTCTGTGTCTAGCATGATGAATTGAGGATGAATTTATTTTTGCGTGGTAGTTGGATTAGTGGCCATAAATCTTCACTTCTTCTAGCAAAGGAATTCCGCCCTCTCATTATTACACCGGAATTGGAATGTCATTTGTAATCATAAGACCTTCATTGCATTATCTTTTATCCCTTTTCATTTGGTGGATGTCTTATTCACCATTTTGTACTTTTTTTTTCATGTATTGAGAATCTTGTTTCTCATAACAAACAAATACATACTCTCCTTCCCAATATAAGAATTGCATTTAATTGATAAGAGGGAATGACAAATCTGTTGGGTGGTATATATCACGGTAATAATGCTCGTGAACTTGAGAAAAAAGAGAAAAACCATTAACACTTGCCATAACACTACTTTTAATTTTTACCCTTTTTGTGAGTACCACAATCATCTCCTAATCCACTATTGGTTCTTGCTGTGATATTTGCAGGTATTCTACAAGCAAATAAACTAATTGAATTGTGTGTGCCCTTTGTAAATTCTGATAAATTGTTGCTTCCTAAGTTATAAATGACAGATTTTTGTCTAATGTCTTGGAATGTGTTGTGTGGGGTGCATGTGTCTGGTGTTGTTTAGACCCACCTTGAATTTTATTTTATGCTTGGTAGTTTTGTGTGGAAGGCGTTACGGTGGAAGGTTTCCTAGTGCTTCATAATTGGAGACTAAGACGAGGTCACTGAAGAAATTTATCTGTTCTTCAAACCCTGCATTCCTTACCTCCACTGAAAGCTCATATGAAGGTAAGAAACAGGTAACCCTGATGAGTATTTGCTCTGAATGCTCATCATTGATGATTTTGTTGCGTTTTAGTCTGATGAGTCAAATGTAATCCTGAAAAAGAAAATTTAAGCCTTGACATGAACATGCTGTCATCTGAACTTTCCATTCCTAACAATTTTTTGGCTGTAGTTTACTCCTTTGGTTTTAATAAATTTTATCTTTTACCAGCGCTCACGACTGCTTCAAGGCATCCTGGAGCTCTCACAAATCAGTCCATTTGAAGGTAAAGTTGTCCTCACTTGCACCGGCTACCCTTGTTGAACAAAATTTAGCCTTACTGGTTGATGGTTGGTTATATTGCTCGAGTAAAGGGCAGGCTCAAACTCCAAAACTTCATCGCATTTTGATTGACAGGGTATTGCTCTTTTTTTCTTCTTGTATTTTTATTCTTAGACTTTATATTCTACTTTGTTCCTTTGACGTTATGTTTTGCAATTTTGATCAATACTTGCTTCACCAGAGCTTGTGCTAGAGACATGATTCAAGTTTAGGATACCGGATTGATATTTCTAACTCCCAAGGCCTATTTATATCGAGTGGTGCATGGTTAAATCTACTTGGACGTGTGTATGGATGCTAGTTTTTACTAACTCCTCAATCTATGACACAGGGCATGTCCCTATTGTTCGTGTATCTTTTTTTTTTTTGTTTCTAACATAGTATTCTATGCTTATTACTTAGCTAAGTAATAAACATACAATACTATGATAGTTCAGAAAGGATTGTTGTTGAGGTAGCCTTAGATCAGAAAGGATAGTTCTTCCATTGATATAAATGTGGATAATTTTGGCATTGGATAGATGGATATGACCTCAATTTACGTTGCTTTTCAAATTCACGTATCTTTTGAAGGTGAAAACTTCGGAGCAAATTGAGAGCATGATGGAGACTTGCTGAGTAAGTTACTCTCATTAACATTTTCCTTTTGAAATCATGTTAGCGTGAAATGCATTTGTCTTCTTGTAAGTTGCATGCGTAGTTTTCATCATTTTCTAATCTAGGATCTCTTGGATATGCACTAAAACAAAAGTAGAAATGAGAAGAAGCCTTCAACAAAGACACCAACAATGAAGAAGTAACAATTCCCTCCAAAATGGCACCAAATTGGAAAATTCTCTCGTAGCTGATTTGAATCTTAATATTGCTGTTGGGACTCCATTTCGGAGGAAAGGCACGAGTCTCACCAAAGGACTAATATGTCAAGCACACAGTCTCCTTGTGATGGTTAATCCAAAACCATGTAAAGCCTCCCTCAGCTATAAATTATGCAATGTTGATAACCTAGTTGGGGATTTCGTGAAAATTCCCCAAGAACTAAGGTTTATGCCTTGATTACCTATCTTGAAGGTGAAGACTTGGAGAAAACTGGGATTGACCACGCTTCTTAAAATTTTGATGTTCCTCCATGAAGATAGGTTCAAATAGATACGGCTAAATTTATTTCATTTAGTAAGAAATTTTCAAGATTTGATTCTTTATGATTAAGCCACGAGGGATACCTTTTGCTAACCTATAAACTTATGTTGAATTTGAGCGATGCTATTGGATTGAATATGCATTATTAACTATTTATGAAAATTAGAGGATGGTGATATTTTAAATGTGGATATAGCCATGTACTGTAAAGTTGTCCACGGTAAGAATGATTATACCTCTATCATTGTTTCATAGCATCATTCATATACTATGTTTTTCACAGTTGACAGACTTGTCACTTGTGCAGGTGATCGTAATGAAACATTTTTTGTGGGGGCATTAATGAAACATCTCGACTGCTTGTTCAATGTAGTTATGAGTGCTTGGAGAAAACAATATCAATTGGTATGTGTTGATCTTATAGGTTATGACATGATCTATAATGCAGTTGGAAACATGCTGTCATAGCCACCCCTCTTAAATCCAACCCAAATGCAACACTCCTCCTTTTTCACCCATCTGTCCATCCAATTTTTTCTCTCCACACCCTATGTGATTTTGCTGAATTAATGTTTTAGTTAAAGTTCCTGGGAATTGTAGCCTTTAATGCTATATTGCTATGGTTAACGAACATAAAGAAAATGTGTTGTGTAGGATGGGTAGGGTTTTTTTCTTGGTGGTTTGAGTGTCTTGGTTAATGATCATAAATTTTATTTTGTTAATTTGAATGTGATAATACTTGCAATTGACATTTTATTGACTTTTATTTTCCTGCGAGAACTCATCTCTATTTTTGTTTGACAATTGATTATAGTGTTTATTATGTGTCAATTCAATTTTATAATTTTTACTATGTTTGGTTTTTAAATTTCAGTTTAGTGATAATATTTGGAAAATTTTTTATCAAATAAATGTAATGGATGATCAGTAGATAACTGATAGTTTTTTAATTACACAATAACAATTAACCTCACATTTTTACAATGGTGATACTTAGTCATTTGTGTATACATGCACAATATACATTATTTGACCCTTTTATATTGAACAGCCTTGATGTATCAAATATAGTATGATAAATGCAAATGTATCATTTTATTGGGATCGGTTAAGAGGAAAAATAATAATTAGAATATATAATTGTAGTGCCCACCCTAATGAAAATTCTTGGCTCCTCACTTGCACCGGATACCCTTGGTGAACAAAATTCAGCCTTACTGCGGTTGTATTGCTTGAGGAAGGGGCAGGCTCAAACTCCAAAACTTCCGCATTTTGATTGGACGGGGTATTTCTCTTTGTTCCTTTTTGTATTTTTATTCTTACACATTATATTCTATTTTGTTCTTTTGACATTATGTTTTGCAATTTTGATCAATACATGCTTCACCAGAGATTGTGCTTGAGACATGATTCAAGTTTAGGTTGCCGGATTGATATTTCTAGCCCCCAAGGCCTATTTATATGGAGTGGTACATGGTTAAATCTACATGAACGTGTGTATGGATGTTAGATTTTACTAACTCCTAATGCTTGACACTGGGCACTTCCATGTTGTTCTCATATCATTTTTTTTTGTTTCTAACATAGTATTTTGCCATAAAAGTACTTTCCATGGGGGAAAAAATGCAAAATAAACTATTGATGAGTGCCCTTTCTTTTGTATATTAAGTGGTTGAACGACAATTCAGGTGGTATCTATTTGTTAGGGCTCATTAAATGTATTATTCATAAGATTTCTAGAGGAAATGGATTGAAAATCACCTGGAATGCATTTGTCAGAAACTGTTTTCAAACAATATTCCTGAGACATCATGTTTTCAGTAAGCTATGGAGGAGCATAATTCTACATTTTCGAGAGCTGAGTTTTTTTTTAAAGAAAAATGGTTGGACACTACCGAGGATTGGCGAGTCTTTCTTACTAGTTAATAAGGTGAACTCTAGGTTCGGCCATCTTTCTTAGCAGTTGTTAATACTTCTACAATAAGAGTTGGTAT